GTCATCATTTATTCCCGTGTTGACAAACAAGTTTGGGTGTATCTGGTTGTGACTTGGGAACCATAATCAACTTGTTTCTTCAAGGAAGCACTAACACGCTTGTGGCACTGGCGAGATAGTGTCTGACATGTTTTTGACGTCGATACGTGGCCGACATGTGTTTGATACGTCAGGTGGCGTGTCAAATGTTTTCCCTTGTTTTCTGTTGTGTGTGTTGCCACGGACACGCCTCTGGCTCACCTATGAAAGTCTTAGACACACCTTGAATACTTATAGATAATCAAAAAGGAAAAAGATAAACGAACCCTGCCTATCGTAGCTCCGGTAGCTAAATTGCAAGCCTGTGATCTCGCAATGACTGATTGACCCACTGGCCTTGGCTCGTTTTCATTTTATCACTTCAAAATAATGGCCAAAGAAACACTAGTTGAAGAACCAAATCAACTTTTCTGATTTCTAAAGGAAGACATGCCTTAACTGACTTGCCTTATTTAGAAGGGTCCAGTGTGTTTTATTTATTAAGTAGAGAAAGCGACATTTTTTAGAAGATAATGACATGCCTTATTAAATATCAACCACTTTTTGAAGGGAAATATCAATCGATTGGGAGGAAATTAATTGATTTAACCTCTTTTTTCTTGAAAGGATGCTACTTTCATTTATAATTATAAAAGATTTAAAAATTGTCATTATATCCCTAAGTGCTAAAGCAATTGCGCTTTTTATAATTTGAAAAGCACTGATTTTCACAGTAACAATATCTTAGATGTTTTGCACCGTATGGTTAAAAAAAGGTTATATAAATATTATTTTAATGAAAGTTTTAGCACTTTTCTAGAAAATTTCATGTCTTTTTGCATTTCCATGCATCATAGGGCTCCTCTGAGAGATACTCGTTTGAAAACGAACCATTTAACATACATATCTTGAAATGATGCTGCCTCACAAAGCCTCTGTCAACAAAACATTCGTAGCTACTACTCATTACTATCCACACATTTTGTAGGACCCAACATTATTCTCTTACTGTTTCTATTTATAAACCATTTACACATTTGCCAAAGGGGGGCTAAGTTTAGGACCCAGTATTATTCTCTTACCATTTCTATTTGTAAACCATTTATAAATTTGCCAAAAGATGGTTAAGTTTAGCTGGATACTTGTCAGCCAGAACATTAGTGGATTAGCAATAATGAACCAAGGAAGATTAGTAAGCGTTTGTGGTAAAAATGACCTGCAGAAAAAATGATATGAGAGATAACTGACTCTTTAAACAGGAAATTTTAGGACTTGCTTAGTGCGTATCAGTTGTGAGTATGAAGCATGAGTAAGTGTGCATCATTTGAACAACTCTGTCTCAGTCATGCAGTCCATCAATCTGAATGAAGCATTGCACGCAATAATACCTGTTCTTTTACATTTTTTTGCTTCTGTTTAGAGATCACATTTCAGAGATGTCTGGGCATGAACATTGCATGGTTAAATGTGGAAATGTGAAATTGTTTATCATTTTAAGCTGATACAGTATATGTTTACCCATTCCATAGGACGATGAGGGAAATGTGGAGGCTATGAAGGTTGGTGCTGGGCACATGGCAGCTAATACAATAAGGCTTTTGATTGCGGGTACTCAAGCAGGTGGCTTAATTGGAGTTTCTGGTCAAAATATTGAGAACTTGAGGAATTCTTCCGGAGCAAGCATTACAGTCCTTTCTCCAAATCAGTTACCGCCCTGTGCATCTGCTCACGAGTCAGATCGAGTGGTCCAGGTGAGATCCTAGTTGTTCTCATTGCAAAACAATATTTGCACATCATGCATTTCTAGTTCATAAGTCTAATAGCGCGTCCATATTCTTATAAATGATGATTTTTATTGATGAATATGTCAATCAAAAGTTTAAAAGGACAGTTGTTTGTGAATAGGAAAGGTATCTATGTCATGATCGTAAGAGGTGGAAATAGTTTTATACAGATTAACCTGGTACATTTCGTTCTCTTTTTTGTTCCCATCTTCTTTCTCTTTGCCCATCCTTTTGCATGCTCTACTTTACCGACCATAACTGTTCCTCGAAGTCATATGAAGTCACAGGTTCAACTTGGATCCAGGGATGATAATCTGCTGGGGTTACATTACCTTCCTTTGGGCAAATTTTACAGAAAATAAAATGAAACTTCATTTTTGGAGGGGGACAGAGAGACTTGAACTTGGGATACTCCTGGTTTTTTAGAGTACAGTTGCATGACTTAATCTGTTAGTTCTAATTGAAACAGAAAACATGTCTGCTTAACATGTTGAATATAATTAATATCCATCTCTATCCTCCTGTATATGAGTGAGACACGGCTTAATTTGAATGCTGAAAATTTGGAACATTTTTCTCCAGTGCGTAATCTTCATTTTTGCTTATTCTTTTCTGATGTGATGTTTAAAGATGGGTGTGATTTGCTATTCCAGATATCAGGAGACGTTCCTGCAGTTTTGAGGGCTGTAGTGGAAATTGGATGCCAACTTAGGTGATAGATTTTGATTCAGATGAATTTATAATGTTTATTTTGTTTACATCTTCTGTTTCCTGATTCTCACATTGATTGACATATATAGGGACAACCCACCTAAACAAGTAATCTCTATCAGCCCATCTTATAATCCTAATCCTGGCTTTTCTCGTCCTGCTCAACAGTATGTGGACCCTACTTCAGGTTATTACGTCATTACCATGCCATTTATGTAATTTTGATTGCTGCAATGTGCTATTGCGTGTAATCTTAATTCTCATAACGACATCATCTTTAGGACAACCAATCTTGCAGCTGAATATGTAAATCTGGAGCTTATGGTTCCTGAAAATTTGGTTGGCGGTTTAATTGGAAGATTTGGCGCAAACATTTCTAGGATCAGGAATGAGTCTGGAGCAACTATCAAGGTTTGTTGAACTTGGTTTAAATCCTTTTTGTTAGCTTTACGGTAGCTGGATTTCACATATTAAAATCCCAAGTATGAGTATCTCAAGCTCAACATGAATGGAAATTAAGTAACAAAGCTTGAGCTTTCATTACCGAATGAAGAGATTGATAAGGTTATGGAAAGATAGCTGAGAGGCTGGATATTCTTTGTAATTTCCTAAGTAAGGATTTCTACATTCGCATATGCAAAAGATTATTCGTTACTGAGGAAGCTATTTGATTAAAAGTAATAACAATGTTTGAAATGCATGCTTGGTAGTTTAGTGATGTTGTTTTGTCCAGTGCTGCATTTGAAACTGCATAGGAAGCTAGTAAGAGCAAATACACAAATTCCACAGTAGCCTTCATTATAGTATTCTATGGAAAGTGTGAACCAGACTGGTCAATCAGACTTTTGTTCAAATACTACTGTGTCATAGTTTGGGCTAAAAATAAAAATAAGTATTCCCTCAGGGATTCAAGACATTTCATTGTTTTGGTTTTCTCATATACATCTTTCTGTTGAGTCCTCTTAATTCTTTCACATTTCTTTTGCAGGTTTATGGTGGGAGAGGTGAACAAACACAAAGGCAAATCCATTTAGGTGGTAGTGCTCAGCAGGTGAAGCAGCCATCTGTGTATTTATTATTTCTGGATAGTAATACTATCCGCTAACTATCCTCATTTGGCCTCTCCGGAAGTAACTGTTCATGGCTATTGGGGAAATCTGAAAAAAGGAGATAGCACCTACATTTCTAAATATGAAAGTAGTAGTCTCCGGTTAAAAAGTAGATGTTGTGGAGTTTATGTTGTTAAGTGGCCTTCCATGCTATTTCAGTCCTATTCAATATGTAAAAAGGATGCAATTGGGGAACCTATTGTGCGCGTTCTGGGCGATAAAAAATTGTCCAAATACTTTAGGCCAACAATAGAAAGCTCAGGAGGCAGAGAAATGTGTGCATAGTTCAGCTACCCTGAAGCTTAGTCTTAAGTCGTATACCTGTAAGTTCAACATTAATTCCCTTAGATGTGTCAATTGTTAATTAAGGCTTAAGCTTTAGCAAATGACACCCAAGGTGTAAGCTACAAAGTGTTCAATGAAAATCTCACATTTGGCGTGTCGCGTCAGTCAAGATTTTGCAACAATGGTCCTGTTAAAGTGATTGTGCATGGCTTGTTTATCCTAAACATTTCTTTGATTTTCACTTAGTGCCCGGGACCGACCATTTTTATCAATTAGTGTCTCAAGTTCGGAGAGCAATATGTATGCATGCAGTAAAATTTTGAATTTTGCTACAAAAGTTTGTTAATTATAAATTACTGATTATTGATGCCAATGTTTTAACAGGTTGCTCTTGCAAAGCAACGGGTCGATGAATATGTATATGCTGAACTGATGCGACAAGCTGGTGGTCAACTGCCACAAGCAGTTAGTCAACTTCAACAAGTTGCTACTCAACAGACAATGTAAATTACTACTCTCTTCATTGTGTGTGAATTTTTTATTTGAACCAAAAAACTTAAGCATTTTTATTGCCTGTGCAGGCCTGATATGTCACATACTATGTACCAAGGATACGACGACGCTCATGCATTTTATGCGAACAGGTTTATCTCATAGAATTTGAAAACTTGACAGGTTTACTGCAGAATAATGGGTAAACAATCTAGTCTCGTATATTCTTCACTTTCAACGCAGCTAATGGGGTTCAGTTTTCTAATCCTACAGTAATTATGAAGCTGGAATGATGACATCAGTTCCTACACTATATGCACCAGCTGCAACAAACCAAGCACCGCCTTATTATGGTCATCAGACTTATAATGCTCCACAGTTATAGGTGCGAGGAAAAACTTTTCTCTTCCGTTTTATTCGAGTTGCCTTTCACATCTCCAATGTAAAAGTTCTGAAGTATGGTTACTTTTGACCTTTTATTTTATTTGAGTTTGTATTGTAGAAGCGCTATGTTAATAGGAATTTAGAATCTTGTTGCAACTTAATATTTATATATAATTGAAAATCCATTTTGATTCTAGGCTTTCATTGGCCATTCGTATAGTTCTTAAGAGATATTTTGATGCCTGTTCCGTAGAAAAAGCTAGCTTTGTCTCTGGAACATTGCAGTTACATTCTTGGTTTTGAAACAGGTTAGTCAAGTTTGCTTATTGGCAAAGACATTTCATACACTAGTTGAGCTACTTTCATGTTGATCGATGGCTAATTTGCATCACGTTTGTTCACTGTATTGAATGGTGTTATTTAGTACCGTTGTGACTTCTTACTGAAGAAAAATAAATCAACATCTTGTTCATTGGGAAATGTTATTTATTCGTACTGTGGTGAATTCTTACTATCTATGGGCCATGGGCTGGAATTTAGATATGGCTTTTAGTTGTTATGTAGGCCCAACATTACATCCTAAACTGATCACCAAGGATTGGTTGAATATTTAAGGAAGAGTATTCAATTAATACTAAAGGAAGATTATTTCAAATTCAAGAGCCGAGGAAAATTTATGAAAGAATAATCAATTAAATTTTGAGCTGAGGAATCGAGCTACTTCAGTTTTATCTGATTCTCTGTGCTAAAGATCTTCTTAACTCATTTTTATATTACCCAGGGGGGCTTTTTTCTTCAAGAGTGTTGAATTGGCTTTATTTCAAGAGCTATGTCATTTTTTCACATAAATTCTTACTTCTGAAGTGTTTGATTGACAATTTTTTTATGGAAAATATTTTTTAACTTTTGGTCACGTGACCATATTTTGGTCAAAAATAAGAAAAATATTTTCTTTAGAGTGGTGGTTTTTATTTTTCATGCATTTTACTCTCTCTTCTTCTCCCATATCTATTCATTCTCTTTTATTTACCCACCAATAAAATATGGACGAGTATAATATTTTCTATATTGAAAATTAAATCAATTAAACACATTTAATTACTAATTTCCATATAAATAAGTTTTAGACAGTTTAATTGTGAAGAATTTATTTTTTTTTCCATGCAAATTTAATGGTTGCAATTAAAAGCACTCTAAAAGTTTTTTAGCCTGAAATATAGGGTGGGTTTGGTATGATATTTGCTATTGCTTTTAGAAAAGGGAAAATACATGATTTCGGGCATTTAAAGATCAGAATGAAAAATCATCTAGGAAAGTTTTTTTTATTCAAAATTCAGGTATTGATTTAATTATTAATATTAATATAAAATAATTCAACCCTATTTCATCCCAATTTTATTCTAAACCCTAGAATTAGATTCGTTTCCCTCCTCTCTCCCCCACTTAACCCACATCTCCAATGCCCCCGTCCACTGTTAGAGACCACTGTCGAAATCACGGTGACTATTGTTCACCAGCTTACTAAGGCGGAAACGGCAGCAATTGCACTTTACAGTGAAGATGAAATCCCTCTGTCGCACGGCACCAAGCACCGTCCATAGTTGCGAGCAGGAGTAACGATACCAGCACAGGAACCACTGCTCACACCGCAAGCAAGAGTGTTGCACGGAGCAGATACCTCCAAGATCTGTGAGATTGTGGACTGGTTGGGGGCTTTGGGATTGTTGATGAGGACGGTGGTGTGGATGGTGTGGCTGACTTTGGTGGTGACTTGCTGGTGATGTTTGTCATGTTGGTGGTGGTGGTGTTGGCGGTTCGGAGTGGTGGTGTTTTTCGTGCTGGTGGTGGTGGTAGTGGTAGTGTTGTTGGCGGTTTGGAGTGGTGGTCTTGGTGGTGGTGGTGGTGGTGATGTTGGCAGTGGCTGTGATAGTATTGTGGTCGGGGATAACGTTTGTGACCAAGTATTGTGGGGGATTGAGATAGGGTGTTTGGTGCCTGTGACCAACTATTTGGTTTCTTGTGATTGATTATTAATCTGTGACTTTGAAATTTGATCTTTTTGTAACTAAAAAAGTAACTCATGACATCAAATTTGAAAATGTGTGACCTGTGACCTATAATTTTTTGGATTTGTGATCATTTGTGATATAATTTTTTGATCTGTGCTCTTGAAATAATCTGTAATCTATGAAAATTTTGATTTGTGACGTCGAAAAAATTGTGACCAATTAATTTGATGATATGTGACTAATAAATAAATTGGTAACCTAAAATTGTGAAACTGTAACCATTAAACGTATAGCCATGACTTTATTATCATTATTTAATAAATATTTTTAATTAATTAGTTAAAACATGATTTTTGCATTAATGAAACTTGTAACCTGAATTTTGAATTATGCATAAATAAAACCTGACTTTTAAAAGTCATATCAAATGGGTTCATAGTACTTTTATAAAATTATATAAGTGGTTTCAAAAGTAGCTTAAGTTTATAAGCACTTTTTAATTTGAAAAAGAGTTTTTGACTTTTCAAAAATTAAGCGAAACAGGCTTCTATTTAAATCTAAATTAAGAATCATAAAATAATATCAATGATGTAAGTTGTTTTTACACAAAATCATATAATCCTGAAGTAACCAATAATCTTAGTTGTTAGATCACATGATTCAGCAAGTGGGACACCCTTTTAATCTTAGAAGACCCTTTAATTTATTCTTTTTCTAGGCAACATCACATAATCCAAAGGCACCTCCTCGTCCAATCTTTAACCTTATTCAAAGCATTAAAACAATCACTTAATTAGCAACACAAATTTTGATTATCTCATCGCACGTGCACACGCGTGTTTGCATGGCTGGATTACATCATGTTAATGTACTAAATATAAATTATTTTTATTTCCAAGCAAACGATGGAAGTATAAGATGTCCCATTTGTTTTGACCATTTTAATGGAGAAAGACACCCGCACGTGCGCTTTGCTGTTTGTCACGTGTATTGATCTTGTTTGTTATGAACGAGGTTGTTAGAAATTAAACTATATCGTCGAATACTACTGAACTAGCTCAAAAAGCTTCACATATCATCAACTTGCCAATTGTTCTTGTATCGATTTGATTTCAGCACTGTAAGGTAGGCACATTTTAAATTTACTTATTTAGCCGTCGAATACAATGCACGTAGAGCATGTCAATGAACATTTAGCCTCTATTTAGAAAATTTATAAGTGGTTTTTAAAGAAGAATAGTAGTGAGTCAAAATATGTGGATCGTAATTACAAGTAGTTATGAATATATTATTTAAATTAATGTTTGATTTAAACTGTGATGAAAATACATGAGACCCAAGTAAACAAAAAAGGCAAATTTATAAATTTATGTACTAAAAAATTTTAGGGTCCAGAAAAGTAATTATTACATTTCTGTGTACTCATCCGGAATATATATTTATGATGAACTTTGCTATTTGTTCACTGATTTTTGACACTTTGGTTGATACTTGCATTGTTGTCAAGTGTCAATTGGATGAAAAAATTGTTTGAAATGTAAACTGTCCAATAGGATAATGATACGTGATAAAGTGTAAATTAAAGTGTACACCATAATTATATGTAGCAAAGTTCCAATAGGGTAATGATACGTGATAAAGTGTAAATTAAAGTGTACACCATAATTATATGTAGCAAAGTTCAAGATTGTCGTCTTCAGGAGCAGTCTTTATCTCGTCATTTCCGAATGACCATTTACTTCTTCTAATTATTCTCCTTTGCATTTTTTCATTTATTATTATTACCATTAACACACAAAATTATTGCTTCATCCTGACAATATTTTACCACAGTTTTTTTGGATTGACAATCAAATAATCAAAACTTTTTCACGACAACTCTACTTGAAAAAGTTTTACGAATTGAAAACCTCTGGATTTAATTGCACTAAGCCATAGTTATTAGCTTCGACCCAATATAGATTCGATAGTGATTCCGGGTCTTGAGTTAGTGATTGGGCCAATAGATCAGTGGTCGGACCAATGGGTCATTACTTAAAAAATATAAATAAATTTTAAGATATAAAATTAAATATTTTAAGTTAATTGTCACTAATTATTTATATATTTTGGAATTATAAATTTTGTTAGACATTCAATTCTTCTTAATTAAAATTAATCTTTCAATACATAATAAGGTGAAATATTGGACCATAATTTTTCAAGATGTTCAGACCTATAGGTTATATATAGATTATTGCAGTAAAGAAGGCATCATTTTCCTTAGAGGTTCAAGTAGGGATGTCAAACGCGCTCGGCCGCTCGGCTTGTGGGCGGCTCGGGCTCGTCATTTGCCTGAAGACCGAATCGATCAGGGGGCTTAATCCCACAAACTGAGCTTTGACGTGTAAAAAAATATGCAAATTTAAAAAAAAAAAAATAAAAAAGGTCAAAAAATGTGCAAATTTACTCAAAAAAAATAATAAATAATAATAAATTAATTAATTAAAAAAAATCAAGAGCTTGAGCGACTAGTGGGCTCGGCTCGGCTCGTGGCTTGTGAGCTCATGAGCTCGTGGGTAGAGAGCTCGCCCTCGAGCTCGAGCTTGAGCTTGGCTAGTCTTTCACAAGCCACAAGCTCAGCTCGAGCTCGTGGGTTAAAGGGCTGAGTCGGTGTGGCTCGATTCATTGCCATCCCTAGGTTTAAGGTTCAATTGGACCAAAAAAGGTTTTTTTTTTTTTTTTTTTTCCTTTTAAGAAAAAATTCAAACACGATAAATCGAGCTTGATTGGGCCTGTGATTTTCAGGTAAAATTGTTGGTTGACCCGGGCTTTATTCAGGTCACTTACTATCAGACCAAATGGCCTTGTCCAGCCCCGATCAGATTCCCGATTCGTCCATTTTTCAACCGGACTGAATTTAATAACACTGCTCTACGCACATTATTTGTGTCAAACGAACACTACAATTTGCCTTACTAGTTTCGATGTCAACTTGTCAACCTTTTATTTACACTAATGGGTTCCCAACCTTCGAAAATGGATGGCATTCCTAATAGATGAATTTCATCCAACTTACTATCAGACCAAATGGCCTTGTCCAGCCCCGATCAGATTCCCGATTCGTCCATTTTTCAACCGGACTGAATTTAATAACACTGCTCTACGCACATTATTTGTGTCAAACGAACACTACAATTTGCCTTACTAGTTTCGATGTCAACTTGTCAACCTTTTATTTAGACTAATGGGTTCCCAACCTTCGAAAATGGATGGCATTCCTAATAGATGAATTTCATCCAATTTCTATCTTAATCAATTCAGTTGACCTGTTCGTACAAAATTTAAAAATGAA